TTTTTATTTCTTGTTTATTGTTTGTTTGTTTGTTTGTTTGTTTGTTTGTTTGTTTAGGGTTATCGTGAGAAGAGAGCATTCATCATAGCTCAGAGTCCAATGGAGAACACAGTGAGAGATTTCTGGAAGATGATTGTTGATTATAAAGTATCAGCCATTGTAATGCTGTGTGGGACTGAAGAAGATGGACAAGTAATGACACAAACTATTGACTGACACTAATAATGTATTAATATAATAATAATAATAATACTGTAGGAGTGCTGCTATCAATACTGGAGGGAATCAGAGATTGTTCAATTTGAAGAATATTTTGTTAAATGTTTATCAAGCAAAGACTGCAATGGATATATTGAGAGGAAGTTCAATATATTCACAGAAAAGGGCAGTTCTTCATGGGATGTGATGCAGTTTCAAGTGACTAACTGGCCTACAGATGGTATCATTAGGGAACCACGTACTGTCCTACAAGTTATTGATGAAGTTATACACAGACAACAAAAGATTGGAGGAGGACCAGTAGTGGTACACTGTAGGTAAGAGAGAGAGTTATACTGATAGACTAATGATCATCTATTGTGTGTGTGTGTGTGTGTGTGTGTGTAGTGATACAGTGAGTCGTTCAGGAGTCTATTGTTCAGTGAGTATTGCTCTAGAACAGTGTAAGGCAGAAGGTGTAGTGGATGTGTTTCAAGTAACTAAATCAGTGAGGAGGAGTAAACCAGGAGCTGTCACTACACTGGTATGGATAATAATAATAATAATAATAATAATAATAATAATAATAATAATGATAATAATAATGAATGATTGCTTTATTTAGGATCAATACAGTTCAATATATGAAGTGATTTCAATGTACTTGAAGTTACACAGTACTTATGCTAACTTTACATAATTTAATATATTCAACCTGTTGCATTGATTAACTGTTGTATTATAGTGTGTACTGGCCAGTAGATGTAGCTTTAGTTTTAATGTATTAAGTTCTTTATTTTTGTCAATATTGTGATTCACTAAACATGATAATTAATGAATTTGAATTAAAAAAGAGAGAGATACTGATCAAATTATAAAATCAAATAATAATAATAATCATAATTAATAATAATACAGTGAATTGTTAAGGTTGCCGTTAGCACGGCAAGTGTTGCTAAGAAACCTCATCTTGCTGTATACCATTACCATCAGGAGTGTCCATTCTTTCTCTACTAACTTGCATCCATACCTTAGACAGGGTAGACCCACTGGAGGCTCGTCTGTTCCTCTTCTTCCCGTGGTAATTGTTCCATGGTTCCCCACTCTGGAGTCTGGCTATCAGCTCATCAAGATTACCCTCCAGGTCATCACTAGCTCCTCCTCCTTCACTAGTGGAGGCCATTAGAGACAGTCTTGCCTGCTGTCTTGCTTTACGTCTCTTTAAAGTGTCAACCTTCCTTTGCTATAGGAGAGAGAGAGAGAGGATGATTAAATATGTACAGTTATTGTTTATTTCTTTACTTCTTCATCTTTCTTTCTCTTCTCCTCCTCCTCTTTCTTTCTCCTCATTGTGATGAGGTGTATGTGAGCCTCCTGAAATAATAATAATAATAATAATTTAATCATCATCATGATCATCATTATATTACCGATAGAGATTTCAAAAACTTTGAAAAAACTCCAAAGAACTTCATCGGAGATTGGTCCTTTCCTTTCGGGTCCTCGCCAAAATAATGAAGTGCCTTAAAGAACTGCTCTTTCATGTCTCTAAAGAAATGATCCATCTCTCTGACAGTGATGGCAGAATGGAGAGCAAACTCTTCAACTGCAGCAACAAAATTGTCACTTTCTTCATCACTTGGATTAGCTTTGTGGTAATCTAGCTCCTAATGGAGGAGTATTATAATTATTTATTTATTTATTTATTTTACTTCTTTGATGTTGGCTAGTTCTCTCTTTATTTCTCTAAACTCTTTCTCAAGCTCAACCAAACTACAAAATAAAATAAAAATAAATAAATTGAGGAGAAGGAGAAAGAGGTACTCACTCTACTTTGCAGGCGTTGTTAATGTGAGGAAGATCAGTCTCTAATGTCAGGACATCAGGAAACTAGTAATGAGAGAGAATAGAAAAGGATATATTATTACTATATCACACAACAGAAAGGTTGTAAAAGTTGTAAATATCAAAGGTGTGAACAACAGTGCTAACAACAGTGTTAACAAACAAATAATTGTTAGATAAAAGAGAGAGAGAGAGAAAGAGTGGGGGAAGATTTGTTCCTTTACTTTTGCTTCCAGCATTTGTACAAGATAATGCAGTAAAGTCATTTCATTGTCAGTAGTAGATTTAGTGTCAATTATCCTGTTAAGACTGGACAGCTTAAAACCTACAAACAACAACAATAAACAACAACAACAATACAACCAGCTGGTATATGAACTACTTCCCGCCAAATAACATCATGTAAAACTCACCAAATGCATTTCCCCTGAGTCCTCTGTTCATGATGTTACCAAACGCAAGTATAACTTCTAATAATTTGCGCAATTTATCGCTCATCAATAATTCATGACAGCTGGAGGTGATGTCCTCAATAGCAGGACGTATCTGAGAGAGGGAGAAAGAGGGTATCAATGTGTCTTCATTATTATAAAGTTACCTCAGTTATTCTGTCATTGAATGTTTTAGTGAATGATAGAGCCTTGAGTCTCTTGTCATAGCGAGGTACGTTACTCATCTCAAGCATAAACTTGTCGGCTCTCGAGAAACTATCAAACTCGGAGAGGTTTTCACGCAACGTCTCAATTTCTTCTTTAGTTGGAACATACTTTAATAACTAAAAATAAATAATAAAAATAATAATGCAATAAAAAAAATTTAAGTATTATGTTCAAAACTTTTGAAAAACATTGCCCATGGTTTTTTCCAAAAAATGGCTCAGGAATCTTCGCCAATTTTTATTACATTTTTTGATGCATATTGATGTCCTTATGCTGTGTAGAAAGTTTGAGCTGATTCCGACTTCAATTTTTTG